AATTATTAGGATCTACATGATGCCTATCGTCTCGGTTCAAAATCAATTCGAGAATTTCTCTTATTAATTGAAAAAAAGGTTTGTAAATCTTGTGCTTATCATCTTTATTTGATGAAATTATTTGTTGATCAACACAATAAATAATAATGAAAAAGTGAAATTTTTTATCTTATGATTGATTTTTTTATCTTTTATATAAATCTGAAGAAAAGAAACAATTCTATGAAATGATTGAATTGAGTCATATCAAGAACAACATAGAATACATGTAAAAGACTCTACTTATCAAGGTCAATGCTATAAAATAACGATAAGTTATGTAATCATTTACGAACTCTTTGAACTATAGCTATTATATCTATAGAAAATATGAGCGAATAGTTTTATGACACATTGATTTTTACATCAATTATGTAAATGAACATAGACAGCCATAAATTGTATAAGAAAAAATGAATCCGACACTTTTCAAAAGACAATCTACACGTTGGCTCGAGTAGTTGAACTCGAGTTCCGATAGAATCAATATTTTTCCTTGTGATTCTGATCTCGATAAACCAGAAATTTTTAAAAAGAGTGCAAGACAAACACTGAAAACTTAAGACAAATGATTTAATCATCGACAGATTCATTTGTTAAATTTTATAAATTAAATCTTAATTAATTTTCGTTAAAAATTATCCTGATAGCAAATTGAACTCAGTCAAAATTTAGTGAATTTCACTGTGACCAACATTATATATATTTAAATTAACATAAAGAATGTAAATATTTTTTTTTATAGAGTAAACAGAACGAACCATCATCTAGAAAATGAGACATTGCTGAATTTTCTGCGATTTTTTTTTTGACTGATATATAGGCAAATTAATTGAAGGTCAAAAAATGGTTTCAATATAACAAACTCAAAAAAAAGAAAGACTTTCAAGGCTTCCATAAAATTAAACCTTGCAAAGAACTCGGCGACATCTGATTTCTTAGAGAATTGCTTTCTCTAAGTGCTGAAAACTTAGACTTGTAATTTTAGACTTGGTGCACATTTCTATTCAAGAAGTGTTGAAGTTTGTTATTCTCTCTAAAAATTGAATTTTCTTAATCCAGAATTGATATAGATCGAAGTAAACAAGAGTTTCATCAATCTAAATATAAAAGTACATTTATTGATTAATTCAGATTTATTTCGTATAATAAATGAAATAAAGTTAGAATACTTTGCATAAGACAATAATTAATTGTAATTAAGAAAAAAAGAAATTTTAAATTATTTATTTTTAGAGAATTATTATTTGTTATATTAATGCAAAAAGAAAAAATGTGTTTAGTAAACTACTGAATATGTTAGTAGAAAATAAAAAATAAAAATTTAATACGGATGTGGTAGATTATTTCGATATTCTAATAAAACTTCAAATTGAAAAGTTTGTTCTTCATTAGGTTGTAATTCTTCACCAATAATTTCAATACCTTCACTAATTATTTGAATTTTATTATTTATTTGTTCATTATTATTTTTTGGAGTTATAATAAATTTAGCTGAAGATATTATTTCTTTATATTCATATTTAATATTTTTTGTTTTAGCATTTTTAATCGTTAAATTAATATCATATGATGCTGATTCTCTTTTTTGTGATAAAATTTTAATTTGACGTGTAAAACTAACATCAGGATCATTACCACAATCTAAATCTTTTTTTTCACCTTGTGATATATCCGATAATTGTGCTTGTCCAACAACTCGTCCATCTTCTCGAACTGTAACTGTACCTTTAGGTAAAAATCGATCAGATTCAACTCGATATTTTCTTTGAAATTTTCCTTTTTGTGTTTGTTCTTGAAAATAATTTGTTAATCCAGCATATTTTTCTAATGTTATATTTGGTTTAACAAATGGAAGTGAAAATGTCGATTGTTGAATAAGAATAAATGGTTGATCAATTGAATACCAATAAATTCCAGCTAATTCACCTTCAGATTCAATTGTTGGAGCACCTCCGACAGCTGAATCACAACAACATGATTTCATACAACATTGAGCTTGAAATCTTCGAGATTGGTGAGCAGTTTCTTGTAATTGAACATCACCACCAAATAATTCCGTACGTTTTATTTGATAATCACGTTTTGTATTATTTGTCATATCAGCCCATGCTTCAAATGAATGATTATCGGTTTCAACATTTAAATTATATCGTGGTGACCATTGAATTCCTTTAAATTTTCAAAAACAAAAAAAAAATAAATCAAAAAAAAAATAAAATTTACCATTAATAAGATATGAAAGTGTTGCATCTCCATGTTGTTTTAAAGCAAATGTAACTTCAGTACCTTCTTCTTCGGGAATATTAACATATTCAAGTTCATGATTTTGAGCACGAATATATCGACCTGTTTTAACATCTTTTAATAATAAATCATTTGAACGAATAACTTGACATTCAATTGGTGATTCACGTGGACGACGAATAAAAACAGTTTGATTTTCTAAATTATTTGCTTTTGTTACACTGTTTTGACTAATTACATCAATTCCTTCAACACTAAGACTTCCTTTTACAATTTGATCATATACTTCACGTGGGAAGTACATTTTAAAATTCTTAAAAAAAGAAAAAAAAGTTTTTTTTTTTTGAATTAGATTTCTTCTTCTTAATTAAATTTTCAATTATACCTGAGGTGCATTGAATTTTTCACGAACTTCAGAAAATGATGGATATATACGAAGTTCTGTATATGATGGATAGATTTTTTCTTTATCTTTACCAGAATTTGAATCAGAATGCATTTTTATTTCTTTAAATGTCTAAAACAAATTACAATAATTGTTATTTTTTTTTTTTTCGCAACTGAATCAATCATATGCAATGTGTTATAATTGGTAGATTGATAAATAAAAATGTCGTCGTCGTCGTTGTCGTTCTACGTTGTTTCTATTTACCTCACAGGAATAAAAAGACATGCGCATATCAATTTATTGAATAAGAAAAAAAAACAGATGTCTCTGTTAATCATTAATAAAAACAAGTTGTATATCAAAACAATTTTTATCATGAAATTAATTTTATGTTAATTAAAAAAAATAGATCGTTTTTTGATACAGTACCTGCTCAAAATTATTAAGGAAAAAAAAAAGTAATTTTGATTTTCTGTTATGCCCAAGATGTACTCAGGTTGAAGTCATCAAATCGAATCGACAAAATCTGATGGCATTAAAGTGTCTACTTTTGCTTGTTTTGACTATTAGACAACATGCGAAATATATTTTGGTTATTTTTTCTGACGATGTAAAGCCACTTGTCACTATCCTCGATGGACCTTTCACGTCCGTAAACAACTGTTTATGATGACAAAGGGAGCTATTCAGTTGAATGGATAGTAAGTATAAATTATTTTTTTATTTCAGATTATTATATAACGCATGAAGTCAATCAAAAGTGAAGATTAATTATTAATGCTACTGTTTTTTCTTCATTTTCAATTTATTATTAAACAATTGAATGTAATTATAAGTTAAAATAAAGTATACTTAAACTGTTAGTTTTCAGCTAATTGTACGAGAGAAAGACATTAAAGGAAGGGCGATCATAAGAAGGGAAAGTGTGATCGAACAATATGTAATATACAGATGTAAATTCAACGTCCATTTCATGGAATCCTATCGGAAATTGCCGCAGATTGCCTTGAATATCTCATCGGATTCTATTGTAGGATTCTTCGGCCTAGTTAACTAATATCAAAATAGTGATTTGAATAGTCAATGAATTTCTCTATCAGATACAATATCTCAGGTGCTCTGCTGTGGTGTTTGTATACAAATCGTAAACGACCGTATATCATTGTTTGCCATCGTAATAGTTACATTAGCCTTTTCTCTATGAAGGAAGGAGTGACTTTCTATTACGCCCTCCTCTCATATATATATTTTTTATTTATTTATTTAACCAATTTTTACTTTTGCGCTAGTGTCCGGAATCAATCTAAATCTCGAAATTAATTTAAATACAAGAATCGTATTTATTTAAATTGACAGCTATGAAAGGTGATAGTTCATAAATATTTTTAAATGATACGATTGAGTGCGTCGGATAGATCCCAGTAGGTGCTATTAATTGACATGTACAAACTACTCGAAAATTAAAATGAGATTTCTTATTAACAAAAAGAAAGTTTTCTTAACAGAGAACAAAATAAATACGAATGCTTTTATTAGAAACCGGCTCCTAGAGACATTAGGTCACGGAAGCTTAGTAGCATTAGATAGAACTCAAGAATATCTATCGATTGTCTATGATTACATAGTAACTAATTATGAATTTTAGGTGCTTTGATAATGTGACCCAAATACGGCGTAGTTTCAGCATTTAAATGCTTATCGTATACGGCCACCTATCCCAGGCTAAAAATGATTGTACATTAGTCGTATAGTGCCGTTTATGCGCTATATTGTTCGATCTGAGATGTATTAACGTTTCATAGTTGGACTGTGTGGAAAATTTTTTGAGACAACTGAACACGTCATGGGAGTTAGTTTGCAATCGTACAGTCTGACAGAGTACAAAATTCTGAACAATATGACGGATTTCCTCTTTCTTTTCAACATTGCAAAAAGCTAAAAACAGCAAAGTTTATCTAAAAAATGCGTCGACCCCCATATATCGTTCAGAATTTGATGCTGTTTCAGACTGCTCTGTTAAAAGCAAACTCCCTTGGCATACTATGAGAATTGAAAACTATTGTGTTCAACTTTTAGAAAACTTTTTCAGATAGTCCAATGATGAAACCTTGATCTATATTGGATTTGACAGAGAAATTTATTGACTATCTAAATCACTAATTGTTTCGATTTTAGTAAGGTACTGGACATGACAGAACAAAATTAAAATTGCTTTGTTCTTATAATTTTGAGTAGTACTATTTTTTAAAAACACTAAATTTTTAAAAAAATATTCGACTAAATCATAATTTGTTGAAATTTATTATTTGAGGATATTGGATAAATCTATAGGTAATAATAATGTCTATTAGATTCTCAATACATTTCATTATTTTAAATAATTGTGAATAACCATTAAATCAAACAAATTTTTTTTTTCTTGTTCAAGAATTTATTATTCAGTATGAACACTTTTTAAATAATTAACATGTTTGAAAAGGTATATTTTGAATAGGCTTACCATATCTCCTCATTTGCATGGGTTACTTCTGAAAGTGTGAGTGTGATGTAAGTCAAAAGAAGAATTATACCCTCAATCACGTCTGTCACAAAAACTCTACCTAACTAAGATACTCGAATAATTAAAACTGTATCAAGAAATACGATTGATGGTATCTACCTATCTACTACCTACTTGCGTAGCAATCAACATTAATTACATTTCTTAATTCAATTTTAATTCGTCGAGTCCGTTTAGAGTCTAAAAATTCAAGAATCCTTTCATTCCACTTTTGCATGCATTCATTATTAAATAAATTAATGAATTCACTTAATTGACCAATCAATAGTCAGTTATATTATTCACATTGTATCCTTGTGAATCATCATCATTTATTATAAATTATGATTATTAAGAGATTGAAACATGATTTATTAGTTAATCCAAAATATTCAATGATTTTATGCATATGCATATATTAAAAATAGTTCAGATTTAAAAGTGAAATGTTATATGGTTTCATTCATTGATTGCCGATCGATTTTCTAATCAAGTAAAATAAACTTGAAGAAGAAAGGAACTTATTTGTTGTTATACATTAGATAATTCGTATGAAAATTTCCAAATAATTTAAAATCAATCTTTTTCTATAAGAACAAATCATCTGCATTGAAATTGCTATTGTACATTTACAATTTATTTCGTAAACTATTAATATGAAAGCATTATATTATAGGTATTATCGCAGAAGATAAAAATAATATATTTCGTTTTTCTTCATTTGTCAATTTGTAATATTGATTACACATTAGTAATAGAAAAACAAATTCATATATGACTCTCTATATTAGATTCATGAAGACATAGGTTAAAAGCATATCATCATGTAGATATGGCATGGTTTTGGGAGTCATCCACTAAATGAATACATATTGATTAATAATAAAAATTTTTTATATAATGTTCAATAATTAGTAATACAATAAATGTTGAATAATCAATGAAGATAATTGAGAAAATGTTTGTTATTGAATTAACGATTATCTTTTTACTATGCAATTAAAATGAACAGCAAGAAAAATAAATGACATCTAGAATAATTTTAATAAAAAAAAGAACTAGTTTTTAGATTGATTTTCTATGGTATATTCAGCATCATTCATTATATTCTATTTATCGTATCGTATGATAATATTCAAAACATGTCTGTCTATCTATTTATTTTCTAAATGATCAATCCGTTCATGCACATAAATCTCAACCAACAAGTCTTGGTTGATCTCAACTAATGAGAAATGAATATGAAGATGAATTTAAAAAATATTTTTAATAATCCATGCATTCATTTAGTTCAACAAAAGAAGATTTTAATTTAAAATTATTCGTTCATTTTTCGTTATTTACAGCAGTTAAAATGTTATTCATTCATTATGAAATTTTAACAGAATAAAACAACTTCAAGAATGACTAATTCTTTTTTTGCTATTAATGAATTTAATAATTGACTATATAAAGTTCACATTATTTGCAATATGAAAATAATATTCGTCATATTTATCCAACAAAATTTATTAATTATCGAATTTTTGCAATTCTATATTAATACGACTATCTAATTTAATCAATTATATTGCTGAAACCACAAATACAAATTAGTTAAATAATTCTAATATTTAAATAAATAAAAATACAAGACTTGCTTTAAAAAAACACAAGAATCAATTATTTATCATCATCATCATGTAATGTAAAAAATTCATTGAGAAAAAAATCATAAACAATCAATGATTAAAAACTCTTTTTTTTCAAACTCATTCATTAAATTTTCATTACTACCTACTACATTGTATTAGTATTCTTTTATATGTGTATGTATTCTCATTTTGGTCAAGTCGATTTATTTCAGTTGAAATATTAATAAAAAATTGATGAAATATCTATTTAGTAGTCGATGAAAAAGCAATAATAATTTTCTCTTGATAATTATTTCAAACCCGACGCTCAGTCATTAATATAGTTGATGATATTCTACGATACAATCAATCAATCAATCAATCAAGGTATAATGTCTTCCTCTTTTGACGCAATTTGCTTCTCACACTTGTTGATTTGAACAAATCAAACCAACAAAACACGCATACATTGTGAACTGCTCTTCTTTCTTGAACTACTTGCTGTATATGCATACCCATTAATATGTGAGAAATAAGGCAGAGAGCCAAAGGTAATATTTATTTATTCTATTTATGAGTTTTTGTTTTTTCTATCATTTGATGGCGGTGCATTTATACATTTATTTTCGTTCTTATTCTTCCTTGCTTGCTTGATGTACAGATAATTTGTCGTCACTTCTTCAGTACGCATGAAACAAACAAACTAAAAAAGTCCTTACATGGACAAATAAAAAATACGCACTCCTACAACAACCATCCAAAAAAATATCCACAATACTTAGAAACAACAATATACATAGAGGGACAAAATCGTGGTTATAACATCTCTTTTATACATCTGCTATGGACAAAAAAGAGTTGACACCAACTGCTACCAGTAATTCACCCTCATCGTCTACTACAAATAAACTCAAGAAACCATCATCATCATCCACAACTACTACCGATACTGACAGCAGTGGGTCAACAGCAACAACCCCGAGCGGAAATGCCATGCTGCCTCAACGAGTTCTACAAAATTTTCTCCTGATCTGGCTTGATTCAAGTTTGGACAAATCCAAACATGATTTTAAAAAATCAATACAACAACTACGGTGTCTTGTAGCATCCATTGTAGTATTTACAGATACTCGCCAATGCATTAATTTTCTCAATGAAATTAAAAATGAAAAAGTTTTTATGATTCTATCAGGCTCGCAGGGGCGCCGATTAAAACCGAGAACTTATGCATTATCACAATTGGATTCTGTTTATATTTTCTGTCACAATCAAGCAACTCATGAAGAATGGGCTAACAAAATATCAAAGATAAAAGGTATATACACACGAATCAAACCAATTTTCAAAGCACTACAAATCGATTGTGAACGATGTGATCAAGCTATGATCTCGATCAGTTTTCGTGGCATTGACCCGTTGTTTATGTACACGCAATTGTTTAAAGAAGTTTTTTTTGAAATCCGTGATGATGACGAAAAATCCATTAAAGAATTTGTTGAGTACTGTCGTATTCATGATGATATTCCTGAAGACCAAATTAAAAAGATCGAACGAAAATATCATCGCTATTCAACCATTTGGTGGTATACAGCTCCATATTTTATTTACTCGATGCTTAATCGAGGTCTCCGATTACTCGATGTCAACATTATACTCAAAATGGGCTTCTTCATTCGACACTTGCATCGAGATATTGAAGAATTACACCGTGAACAACAATCCATAACTACAACAGCAACAAATCCCTTTCAAGTATATCGAGGTCAGGGTTTATCTGTACAAGATTTTGAAAAAATGAAACAAACAAAAGGAGGACTAATGTCTTTTAACAATTTTCTTTTAACAAATCGCAATCGTAGAATTTCACTGAAACGATTTGCACGACCGGCAGCACTCAATCCTAATTCAGTTGGCATACTCTTTGTTATGACCATCGATCCGATACTCTGTGCAAGATCATCGACTCCTTTTGTCGACATTAAAAACGTCGGCTATCACAAAGATCAAGAGGAAGAAATTCTTTTCTCAATACATACAATTTTTCGCATCGATAAAATTAAACGAATCGAAGACAAGCATACGAGACGCCTATGGGAAGTACATCTCACTCTCACGGGTAATGACGACAATGATTTAAACAAAGTCGCGGCACGCATACACGAGGAGACTAGTTGGACAACAGGATGGCCTAAACTGGGCCATATATTTATTAAAGTGGGAGAGTCCGTAAAAGCAGAGCAACTCTATCAGATACTCCTCGAAAAGGCAACCTCCGATAAAGATCGAGCGGATTACAATTCACTACTCGGTTTATTTTATGACAACATGGGCGAGTACTCCAAAGCACTTTCATCACACGAAAAAGCACTTGATATCAACCAAAAATCCCTCCCTTCAAACCATCCGGACTTGGCTTCTTCATATGACAACATTGGAGGAGTCTATTTTAAAATGAGCAAATACTCCGAAGCACTTTCATCGCACCAAAAAGCACTTGATATTCGCCAAAAAACTCTTCCTCCGAACCATCCTGACTTGATCTCTTCTTACAATAACATTGGTTTCGTGTATAAAAAGATGGGTGATTACTCGAAAGCACTTCCATCGTACAAAAAAGCACTTGATATCCGCCGAAAATCTCTTCCTTCGAACCATCTCGACTTGGCTTCTTCCTACGGTAGCATCGGCTTGGTCTATGAAAAGCTGTGCAAATACTCGAAAGCACTTTCATTTTACGAAAAAGCCTGTAAAATCCTCGAAAAGTCTCTTCCTCCAACTCATCCACATATTGCACAATTAAGAAGAAACATTCAGCGTGTGAAACCAAAATGTAATTGATCTTGCCTTTTTTCAACAATAAATTTCTTTTTTTCTTTTGGATTTCTTACGAACTTTTTCCTATAGGGTATTTTTTTCGTGCGTGATAACAGAGGTTATTGAACTGGGTTTGGATAGCACAGTGAACGATGCTAGCAATGATCAGGCAACCGTACATGCATTTGTATTGTACGAACGAGATGATGGCAGGGACATGCACGCCTGTACGTACCAACAGAACCTTGCAATTCTCTGGCAGAGTCACAAAGCTACCATAGAAGCTTGCATAGAAGGAAGGGTGGGAATGGAAAGACGGTAGCTCGAAGGGAGAGGACAGAAACGTGAAGGCGCAGCTAGGGTGTGGATGTAAAGGAAATGAAGATGCTGTTGCACATGTCGGTGTGGGTTCGAAGTGCGATATTGTGTGTGCCTGTCTCTGAGTATAAGTATTGGTGTGGCTACGGATCTGGAGTGTAAGCGAGAGTTTGTCTGCGCGTATTGATATCGATAGGATGGACGTGTAAGGTGTGAGTGTGTGAGTCTAGTTCTGAGTTTTTGTGGTTGTATATGTGGGTTTGAGAATGTGATGAAGACGGAAAGTGAGCGAAAATAATAACATGATCATCATATGCTCAAACCTACATCAGCAAGCCAAAGAAAAACGAATTTTAATAATGATGCTATATAGATGTATATACAGCGAGTTTTTAGGCATAGAAACGCTGCATGTTTTAGGGAAGTTGATGTTTTGTGCACAAAGAGCTGCAATTCATGTTTTAGCTATGGGGCATCCATTTAAGAATTTTTAGTGACTACTAGTTTTGAAACTGTACTCTGTGTGCATCAACATAATATCATTCATGTAGTTTTTCTTCATTTCTTATCATTATTCTTTTAGGTCACTATTGAGAAATATCTATGAAACGCATCATCTGTGTTTTTCTCACTTGACAATAGGTGAAATTTTTAGTGGACCCTGCTCAGGATCCTTAAAGGACTAACCGAGAAGACTCTCCAAAGACTTCATCAAGTTTTAGACAGTATCGCGTCTGGGTCCTGACACAAGGGTCCAGCAAATTATTGTTGCTTCATTAGACTAGGCTCGTAACAAGAATTCGAAACGAGAACCTATCAGTGACTGCAACAGTATATAAGTTGGCATAAGATGAACTCGTATCTACACCCACAACCACATCTTGTTTCTTGAATAATTCTCGATTTCAAAAGAACCGATAAACTACTAAGAATCCTGGAGGAACCCTGCCAGGATCCCGTAATTCCGTGGCTATATGCTTCTTTCAGGAACTAGTCGTTTCCTGACAGGTTCCTTGTTGAATAACAGTGGTTATCTGTTCAGGATCCTGATTGAATCCTGTTTCGAATCTTGCCAGGATCCTAGAATTTCGTGGCTACACACTTCTTTGAGGATTTAGTCATTTTCTCAGAAAAAAAGAGCGCATCTTTGAAGAATCCTAAACCTATCAGTTAAGGATCTGACACGGAAGCATCCAAAATTTTCTCTAGGGATCTTCTATATCAGAGTCGTATCCTTCGTATTGTCATGCTATTTCCTGTATCCGGGATCCGGTGAGGATCCAGAGAATTCACTTTTTCCTTCTTGAGGCAATGGTATAACTCTTTCCGAACAGTGAAAATCGCAGCTCTATATATTGTTCCTATCGAAATTTATTCAAAAAAAATCTACTTGTCTCCTTTCTTGAAATGGATATTAGCTTCGTATTATTTGTATGACACCGTAGAGATTTCACATTAGTTTATGAATTCTTTAAAATTTCATAACACCATATGAAACTTATTCAAGGTCGGTATCGTTCTATGAGCCCTTAAAGGTATCATGTGGCACCCTTATTTTTAGTGTGATACCGAAAAAGTCGATGGTGCTCTAGTATGTAAAGTGTTGCATGGATAGCAAAATTGTATACCATATCTCTTTTTCTCCGCAGCAAAAGGTTATTACTCATAACTTGTTGCTCTTGTTGCTATTGTTTTGAAGAATGATAGGTTTTTGTGTTAGATGTAGATGAAAAATATAACATTTACATTACAAATATTTACTTCATAAAACTAAATGGGCAGTTCCATGAAAGAAACCTTTCTCATACTTGCACAAACAAAATAAGGAATCCTTTTGAATTAAAATAAAAAGAAAAAAGAATATTTGTTTTATTCTTATTTTTGTATTTAAACAGTTGAGTGTTACCTTTACAAGCGATTTTTCTCCGTTCTACCTATTCCATTTCAATTTTATCAAGGAAAATGCCTTTGGTAGTTTTTTTCTAACAAGTTGGAAGCTGCACTTTGATAACGAAAATATTGTTAACAAACATTTTTATTTTGCTATTGTAAGTGTACTACATTTTAAGCGTCAATCAGTAGTCATTTTCCTTAAGAACTTATTGTCTCTTTTCAAAACAGACAAATATTCACAACTACAGCGCAACAAAGCGAAATATTTCCTTGTCTGTCATTATCATCCTGTGATGGTGACACTAGTGTCAAACCATTGTATTTCTCAAATTTAAACTGTGATTGTTTTACTCTCTCGAACTATAATAATAATTCTGCAAAAGCAATCTGTGCCTACATTCTTTCGTGCGATGCTGTCGTTTCATGTAATTCATCGAATAATTTTGCTTGTTCGACTGTATTCAATACGGTGTGTGTTAACGGTACACGTTGTTAACAACCAGTGTGCTATCCATTAGCATTATCCAATACAAAAATATGTCCACCAGCCGTTTCAACAACAGCTTTAACTACTAGCATAGCAATAATAACTAGTAGACCTAGTAAGTTCAAACACTGTATGAAAAAAATATCGAGCTACTTTTCAAAGATAAATACGAAACTTTTAAAACTTTATAATTTTAGCTACATCAATACCAACAACAAACATAACAACGAAGATAACAACACACCCGAATACAACAACTGCAAGCACTACTTTCAAGCGTATGCATTATTGAGATTTTGTTTTCTACGTTTAGTGTAGATATCGAGTTTACCTTTGTTAAGTATGCCGTAGAAAAAGTACATTGAAAGAATCTACAGAAGACTAATTTATCACATTTTGTTGTGTTTCCGTAATTCACAGCATGAATGTAAGCACAGTATGTTTACTTAAAAACCGATGTCCATACTAATCATTTCATATTGAAAAAACGTTTTAATAACAATCCTAGATCCCTACCATCCAATTTTGCATTTTGATATAAGCCACTATAATCTGGAACAGATTTGTGTCGACTAAATAACATGCCAAATCACATATTCGACTGGCTACTGATATTTTGTCACATAGCTTTTTCTTAATTCAAATTAGATTCGAGGTTTTTCGGTATAGACCACAGTGGAAAACTTCACAAAAGTATGAGCTTAATTTTACAAATTATAGTGGACATACAAACTTTATTCTTCTCATCTGTTTACTTAGTGTCAACAACAATATCAATTTCAAAACAAAATATACTTTGTTCATCAGCTACGTGAAATCCAAACGGAATTACAATCGTTGGTATCGGCAATGATAATTCGGGTTCTGATACGAATCAGTTAACATTTCCACGAGACATAGCTCTCGATAGTCAACAAAATTTAATTATATCAGATTCTGGGAATTGGCGTATACAAAAATATTATACAAACAATGGTACAATTATCACATTATTGGGAAATATAGTAGTATATAACGTATTTATAGATCAGTATGACAACATTTACTATGATGACTACAGTAGTGTACAGAAATTGAGTAATCATAGTTTAACAGTAACAACAACAACAGTAGCTGAAGATAATCGTACACAAGGTAATAAAAAGAATCAACTTAATAATCCTCAAGGTCTTTATATTGACCGATTTGGAACTGTATATGAATCAGATAGTTGGAATTATCGTGTAATTAAATGGTTTGTAAATGCAAGTGAAGGTATTGTAGTTGCTGGTGGAAATGGTCAAGATGCAGAAGGAAATCAATTTTTTTTTGTCCTTGGGGAATTAAATTTGATTCATCAAATTGGAATTTATTTGTAACAAACTGGGCTAACCACAGAATTCAAAAGTTTCTATTTAACGTATCATCTTGCTAAATTATCAGAAATACCGATTTCGGCAACGATTGGATCTTTGTGACATTAATTGTTTCCTTTTAAATCATTCTTTTAATCATGTGTTTAATACTTTCTAACAAAGAAATGCTTTATAATTATGCATGTTATATCCTATAAAAATTATTAGATGCAACCATCGAAGTCTCATTTTATGATTGAAGCAAAAACAAGCTCAATTTTAAAAGCAAGAGAAAGAACCTGATGCTCGTGAAGTTTATCTTTGTGCGTAATTAAAATGGCAGATTCGAGGATAGCTAGATGTGGGGTACGTAATTCGCTGATAAATGCAAGTGGATAAGAGTATCAGTCTTCTGCTCAGCTACACCCACACCCTTGTTTTTCTTTTATTGAATATTCAAAATTCTGAGAAATTGCTATAAATACAATAGTAACGATTTCTATTGATTTCTAATGATTTCACATGATTTTAAATTGATTGCTGCTATTGAAATCAGTTTGTTCTCGTTGGCACACATAGACAAAAAAAGATGAATGCAATTACTTTTTAATGGACTAAGTATCTTTGAAAAAAATCGTGGGTTTCGTCATTTCTTCACCGACAATACCTTTCAGTTCATGGAGACTACTTCATATCTTCTCATGTTTTTCCATCACTAAGACCTCAATGAATCACATCAAATCAGCTTTCTTTCTGTATTAGTACAGTTCTTACAATATGTTCATCGATGAGCGAATTCTAAAGTTGAGTTTATTGTTTTTCTTTTTCATTCGTTAATTTACTATATAAACTTGTGTCATTGAACAAAAATATTATATATTTTATATCCTGTATTTCAAATTGACGAAAACCTACAGAGAGAAAAGCAGCAATTAATGCAGTCATTGCCCGAAAGAATATTTATGGAATGGTGGTTTTGTATAAGATAGAAAATAAAGTTTTACGCATTTTTATTTTTAAAAGACATTTGTTTTTAGTCAGAGAACTTTAACTAGAATTCAATTGTAATTCACTACCAAAGATTGAATGTGTCTACGATTGGGTCGATTGCAGAATATAGTATTTTTTACATGAACCCAGATTTTTCATCATTCATGTAAAAAACGAGCATATAAAGCTACAATAATTAATTGATCGAATGTTATTTGAATAAAACTAAGCAGCATAACAGTATTCATTACATTCTGATCTCTCAATGACACTTGAGAAATAATAACATACGGTGACCAAAGTCCACCCGAAATAAGATAAAAACAAAGAAATTGAATGACTTATAAATGTTGATATTTTTCACGAGCTGAAACATGATGTTGTGTTCGTTGTAAAGTTGATGTTAAATGAACATGATGGGCACTAGCATAACTCGTTAGTACATTCAAAAACATTGGGAATGCATATCTGAAAATCGTATTAAATACTTGAATATATTATCCGATCTAAAATAAAAGGCAGCTTACCATTTTTTGAATAACTTTTGATAGAAACGAGATAGAGCGTTGCAGTTTTCACCATTCAAAAGAGCAATGTCCGAGCCATCGATCGGTATAAAACTCATTAAGATGAAAGATGATTTTTTATAGATATCTTTGGATCATCATTTTTTCGTCTTTGAGCTACATTTTGCCATTATTTGAGTTGAGATTATTATGAAACTTGATGAAAACACTCAAAGAAAAAGAAATGCTGTTCCAAAAATACCTATAAAATATCATCTTTCGTCTTAGTGAGTTTTGTAGCAACCGATGGCCCGAACATTGCTCTTTCGAATGGTGAAACTGCAGCTCTGTATCTTGCTCTTATCAAAAATTATTCGAAAAATGGTAATCTATCTTTTATTTTGCATCAAACAATAGATTTTTGTATAAAATATGTGACAGCTATCTCTAATACGTTCTTTTATCTGAGTTCAACCAAAGAGAAATTTGACAATAAAACAATTAATGGTATTACATAGATACCAAATCGAGTCAAGATGAATCGTTTCATATGAACTTGGTATACATTTCGGTTGCATGCTATTTCTACATAGCAACATATATTCCAAGCTAATAGAATATATACTTCAGTTATATTGAGATAATTATCAAGTGTTGCTTCAAAATAGCAGGTCAATAAAACCCATGCTCTATTTGGTTTACATTCCATAGATGTTGTATGAACAATATAAGTAAACAAAAAACGAACAAGAAGAAAAATATCAGTGATACGATAAGCATAGATCTATTGGAGTGATCTTCGCCGAAGAGATGAACAAAAAATATTAAATGAGTAACTGAAGCAATAATACAAGCATAAAGTTGGAGTTTTATATTATTGATAACAGCTCGAGTCCATGAAAGAGGTTTTTTAACATGTGGTGTTCGCATTGTTGAACACTAATATCTTTATTTTTGCACTATCCATCTAGAAGAAGAAATCTCTACTATTAAAATGTCAGCCCCTTAGAAAGTCTCTGGAGTATATCATCGTGATGATGGTTAGGATCGCTTAGTGAGGATAATGATATTTTTTTAATTAAAAGCCACATTATGAAATGGTTGGTGATCAAAGTGTTTTCTTTTCATAAAATTATCTGTCATTAACGAATGCCAATGAGAGCTATTCGATAATTTTCTTACTATTTCTAGACGAGTTTTAACAACTATGATCAGAACTGATAAATTTAACTGCATGAATCTAGACGCTTTCTTTAAAACGAAGTGTTAGTTTTTTTGTAACAAATTAACCTTATTTAGATGCGAGTAATGTGCAAGATACTGCGGAAAATATTATTTAATTTCATGAATATAAGTAACGCTCGTCGACATGACTCACTTGGTCCTCGACTGAATTTGACCTAATCATAATTTCTCATCGCTTGCTGAATTCTGCTTTGAGAACTGTTGTTGAATGCATACACTCATACAAAAACATCTGTTCATAATATTGCCAAAGACGACCATTTCATAAAGAGATTGAATCTTTCTATTTTCTGTTAAGACTTTCTAAAGTGAACCTTAACAAACAGATCGCAGTCGGTCGTTGACGACCCTATGGGCCGCTACTTCTGACTGCTTGATTTCGTTTATGATTTGAATATAATTTAAAGTAGCGTTTCATTTTCTTGTCTAGAACATTTTTAGTAGTACGAAGAAACCTTTGTACTTAGGGCTGACGAAAAATCCTAAACTCGATGTTTAAAGAACCTTGTCGGATAAGGTAACGTACTCAGAAATAAAAAATCAAATATACCATATTGTAGAGCTTTTTAAGGCGCATCGAACGTTATATAGTAAATCCTCTTTTCACAAGACTCCGAATGAACTAGAGCCAATTTATTGATAGACGACTAAACACTCATGCCCACACTGACAAGATGATTGAAGATGCTACGTATATGAAGTTGTAGCCCGTCAAAAACTATACAAAATCGTATGTGAGAAAAAACATTTTTCAGTAACCAGTCATGCTTGGTTGTGGGTGTGAGTGTTTAGTCGTCTATCAGTAAATTTACTCTAGTTCATTCTAAGTCTTATGAAAATAGGATTTATTATATGCCATTCGATGCACCGACAAAGTGCTTTAATCACTAGGCTTAGAAATTTTGGTCAACTCTAAGTATCTAGCTTTTAGCAGTTTTATTGAAGTAGCGTTCCAGGATGTAAGTTATTCATATCCACAAGTTTTTCCTATAGAGTAGGAAGGTATAAAGCCTATTAAGAAATTTTGATTCTAAAACAGTCCATATAGAGCACAAAAATCAAAACTGGCTAAAGTAGTTTGGATTAGTGTCGTACAAACTAAAGAAAACGCAGCGGATGTCCAACAATTCAAATCTGAACTTTGCTCTCCGCTAAATTTCGTGGAGCGTTATTAACATCGGAATATTCCAATTCTACTTGTATACAGCCGAACAAGGGATACTACTGCTGCATTTATCACATTCAAGTATAGTTCATTTCTTTCAAGTTCAAAAACTTTGAACTCACCCATCAGTCGAAATAAAAGAATCATAGAATCACCTGGCAAAGTTAGTTCATTCGTACTATTACGATTGAATTAAAGCTATGCTCTAATATCATCATGATTTCATCCAACGATTCTCCATTTGTTTCAGAAATATTCGCCTTTACCTAGAGAGATCCTTTGCTGTTTCTAGATCCTATTATTACAGCTTAAATGTGACTTTGTCATAAAAGGTGAAATTGCACTGAATGTTGTGTGAAAGCCATATTCTGCTAAACTGCTTCTTAGTTGAAACGTAGAGGACAGTTCAAAACAATTTTACATTTTGTATTGATTATTCCTCAAACTTTAGCTAAAAGCAATCTGCCTGACAAAATCTTACAGATTGATAGAGTCTATAGTTTATCGATTTACTACTTTGAAAGTGCTTTCTTTAACTTTTTTTGACAAAAAATTATGATTTTTTTTCGTTAAAAAATTTTCCCCTAAAAGACCACAAGCGATTTTCCTCAGAAAAAAGAATTCTCTAGAATTTATTCGATTCGATGCAGTTTTTCACGCTGATTTCCATTTTTCACAGTCGTTTTGACTCACAATCGTATCTTGTCAATGAAAGTCACTTACAAAGTTTTGTTTCTTGTGAGAAATCATTAAAAAATGTCATGAAAAAGAGACTTGTGAGCTTTATTTTACCTCGAAGGTGAACTTTTTTTGTTTTAAAAACAATGGCAGCAGATATACTGTAGAAAATCAACCATTTTGAACTCATAAATTGTGATTTTCTCACTCATATTGAACTGCAAAAACCCAGTCAATAGATTATGTGTAATAATTCAAATAGCTCTTTTTTTTCAGTGATTAATGCTGTATCTTTTAATATACTGTACAAAAAAAATCTTTGTCTTGTTGAAGCACAATCCCTATAAATGTTTATTGTACAATTTTCGACTATTTTTGTGATAATCACTTGACAGTACTCGAAAGTCGATATTGGCTCAATTTACTATTTTACATCCAAG